AGTGGCGAGCTAACTTATAGTCAGCAGTGGGCTTAAGTGCGTTATTATGGATAATTACTGTATTGTCTATCGAAATCGCTCCAAGGTAAGAATATTACACGTCGTTTAATAAAGTAGTTGAGTTTGTAAGATTTAAAAGTTTTTCTGTCGGTTGAGTTTTACTGTTACACAGTGGCTCGGATAGAACCCCCTAGAAGAAATTAAAAAATAGAACAAAAAAAAACAAACAAAACAAAAGACGAGATGGGGTTGTACATGCGAGGGTTAAGCATACCTAATGTGCCCACTAGCAAAGCTGTCAGTGAGAAAGTGACAAGCAAACGCTTCCATGGCATATGCTTCGTGGAGAAGTTGAGTCTTCTCGTCTTCTGTGATTCCTTGACTCGCTTCTCTTGCTTTCCGCATGGCCAACTGATGGCCAGTCAGATAAGCGCTATTGGCGTGTGGTAGAAAATGGTCATGGTTGTTCATGGCCAACTTCAGCATTCGTCCTGGTTTCACCGGAAATCCACCGACCCATTTTCCACCCGTGATCTCATCTTGTTTTCTGTCCGCCGTGTTTTCATCTGCAATAGCAATAAGCATGTGTAATTCTTCTACTTTATGGTCAGGCGCACGCGCTATCGTGTTGAACGCAGCCATGAATTGCTTATAACGGCCGGCGTCTTCTTCGTCAAATGGATCAATGATGGGACATTCCGGTATACCATAAAAATCACCCGCCAAGGCTAAAATGTGCTCAAATTTGATTTTTACGCCATTGGGAAGGGTAAGTTGTTGTCTGTCTTCTTTCTCAGGGTGCACTTGTTCTCCGATGTCTTCCTGTTTAGTGGTTGCAAAGTATTCTCCATCAGTCAAATCCCTAGACATATTTAAGATAAATGTATCGTGATGAAAAAAAAAATATATAGTTTTTTTATAATAATAATATAACAATAACCGCGGTTATAATAGTAATAATCATAAAAATTTGTTATATTGAATCTTGAAAAAACAAGGCAGACATAAAGAAAGAAAGAAAAAACGTTTTTCGAGGTACTGTATACCGCTCAAGGCTACAGACAGAGGACAGTAATCAAACAGTAATTCGCAAATGGCTCTTAAAAAATTGTCGACAACTTGCGTTTTTTGCTATAATCCTTGATTATCGTTTGCATTACTTTTGCACAGTTGTGGAACTTTTGGTGAACTACTAAAAACAGGTGTGGTGATAGAAAGCTTTTTTCTCAGCTCGCTCCGGCTGTACCGATACATTTTAGCTGACAGATACACAGTAAACTGGGACTTGATCATATAACTTAATTGGAATGTCTACAAAAAGAACGGTTAAATGAAAAATGACTCAATGGAAAGTTCGGNTATCCCTATTGCTCCGACGCTTCCTTTTATGTATGCATATAAGAAAATTGATTGATTTGATTTGATTTGATTTGATTTGACTTGGTAGTTCCACATACGGACACTCATTGGAAGGACTTGACGGTAGTTGAAAGTTGTGCCTGAACCGATAATTCGCTTGGAGCTGAACGATCTATCGGCGATATATCGCGGTTGTTAGAATAATAGCCTTGCGAAATATCGCCGACATATCATTCCAACTGAAACATGTACACCGTTTAAATATCGTCGATAAATCGCGATTATCGCAATAATAGAGAATTATCGTTTGCGTTACGTTTGCACAGTACTGTACATTAAGAAATGTTTTGATTAGGCAACATTCATCTGAAGGTTTTGGCTGTTAACCAGATGATGAATTATTACCTTTTATACTCTGGTGCTCCGTGAGAGGCCTAAGTTCGAAATTTGGGATGCCTAGGTTCAGCCGTTGAGACTCTCAAGCGAATGCGTCAGCGCAAGGTTTTCTCAAGTGGGCGTCAAGAAATAATCAAAAAGTATGTAAAGGGGTTTGGGTACCCCGCCTTTTTCAGTGCTCAATACCTCTTTAGATGATGTCTGTTGTGTTTCATATTTCTAAATTAAATACATAATAATAATGATAGTAATCACAACCTTGATCCAAGAAGTAGAATGTTGCTTTTCTTTCTTATGCCAAACGGAAGACATCATTTCTTAGATTGCTCCATATTTTAGTTAACCCTTCGCAATTTTGCATATAATTTTCTGATTATACGCAAGCAATCATGGTGTAAGTTGTAGAAATGGGACTAATGTCAACCAAACCCGGGTGGGAAACAGAAAGAAATAGGAATACCCGAATCCCTAGTTGTCTGAAAAACTCTCTCAGTGTTTCTACTTTGTTATTGATATCCGATAAGACAATGTTTTTAGTAACTCTCTCGTTACTAGCTAGTTCATCTGGTCGCTCATATGTTTACCCGCGCAAGCGTACACGATTTCTTAGTCACACGCATAACGCACATGTGCATTACCTTATCCTTTTCCATCGGGGGATCCAATTTTGCATATTTAATGCAAAGATTTGCGCCCCCAATTCAACTGTTCACGCATGCTAAAAGAAGCACCTTGTACGGAGGGAAGGTCAAATAGCCGACGGAATAACTAAATTTTTCGGCTTGATAGGTTACCATTTTTGATAAGAATGGAGCTTCGTTGCGCCCATTGCGACGAGCTCTGGTATCAGTATCTCTTTTCAGTTGATCTATAGACCCAAGTTGGACAACATTTTTACGGGCATAAANTACAGCCTGTTTCGTAGACCAACAAAAGTTGCCAGGTGTGATGACCACTACACTATCAGGACAACCATGCTGGCAACACGGCAATGGAAGATGTGATTTACGTGATCGGAGACGTGGTCTCCCGGGAAACTTAATTTTCAAGGTGACAGGGTAGGGGAAGCCTATAACCCCATATGAAACCCAATTAAGGATATATATATGTATATACAAATGTGAAAGAAGGAACTTATTACTAGTTACTCGAGTTTCACGCTCTAGGCGATCATCATACTGAGAGTTGTCTACCAGCAGTAAACGTATATATATAGATATAGATATAAATTCTTGAACTTGATTTGAATGTATTTCAAAGAGAGCTCAACTCTTAGAGGAGCAGTGATAATTATAACAAACTGGTTCAAGACTTCAGAGGTAGTTCATCGTTTTATATATATTACGACAGCTCTGTTTCGTATGCTCATCAGGTAATTTCAACGATTGACCCTTGAAATTACCTGATGATTGTGGTCATTTTCGACCACGAAACAGAGCTGTCGTAATAAAACGATGAACTACCTCTGAAGTCTTGAACCAGTTTGTTGTAATTAGATATAGATATAGATCAATGAAGTGTATCAATAGGTTTTATCTTTTTTGTTCTTTTTACCTGGGTAGTCTCATTTTCCCACCGACCTCTATGTGCTCATCTGTTTTGAACCGAGGTACTGACTCAATATCATTCTTGACGGGCCTATAAATAAATGAATGAATAGCTAAATAGATGAATTTCTATAAATATGTATATCTATAACCAGTCATTCATCTATATCTTGAATTTACTCTTTATTTATATATTTAAAAAATGTATTCGTAACACAGAGTTAAAAGTCAAAAATTTGTTTGATATCCTTCACCTACTTTTCAGGAGAGTGAATTTGGCTGAAGACATAGAATGATAGACGCTTTCCACACGTAGTTACCTTAATGTTGTAATTTCTTCAATATGCTCTCTCTTACTGAGACTGAGTTGAATATCCTTCCCGATCCTCAATCTTTGCCCGAGTGTGGCACAAGATGCACGCCCATCAATGGATTTTTCCGTTCCCGAGTTCCACGTATCGTCCAAAGGTCTTTCATCTGGTTTCTCAGCCATGTTACTGGATATGTTTATATTATGTATGGCTCGACGAATTGAAAACCTTTTTGATAGCAACCGATATTGAATCACATACAAAAATAGATTTAATTCAGAGACGGTTCAGACATTCAGGAAAGCGGACAGCTTGATGGATAAATCCGTGGATAAATGTTAGACAACAATGTCTCTTTATCTTCCT